TAGAACACAACAGACAGCTCCCAAACATTGTTATATGAGTGGCGTTTTTATAGCTATTTGACATGTTGTCAGATTCTTAAGTATTGTTAACTTGGCTCTGAGACAAAATTCCCACTATAGATCTTAAAGGCAGCATAATTCTAACTCATATATTCTAGGCTCATATATTTGCAGAGCTCTATTAAATATACCAATCATGTTAATCTTTAACTCTTCAAATATGATAGGGAAAAGATATATAATAGCACTAGAGGCCTGGAGCATGAAATTCATGCATGGGGGAGGAGTCCCCTCAGCCCAGCCTGCACCCTCTCACAATCCTGGACTACTGGCTCCTAATTGCTTGCCTGCCTGTCTAGTCGTCCCTAACTGTCCCCTCCCTGCCGACCTGATTGCCCCTCATTGCCTCTGTGTGCTGGCCTGATCGTCCCAAACTGCCCCCCCCACCTCTGGCTTGGTCACCCCTAACTTCCCCCCACTGCCAGCCAGATTGTCCCCCACTGCCCCCTCCCTGCCAGCCTGGTTGCTCCTAACTGGTCTGGTCATTCCCAATTATCCCCCTCTGCCAGCCTAGTCACCCCTCATCCCCCCCCCCCCCCCGCCAGCCTAACCACCCCCCAACTGCCACCCCTGCTGGCCTGGTCACCCACAAAGGCCTCCCCTGCCAGCCTGATCATCCCCAACTGGTCCCTCCCCCCCCCCCCCCCCCCCGCCGACCTGGTCGCCCCACGCAGCCTGCTTGTTCAGTCGTTTGGTCATCCCTGGTGCTGGCCCTGGGCACATGCGGGGCTGAGGGGACTGAGGGACTGAGGGAACGGGACACTGCCATCTTGTGGTTGTGGGCACTGCCATCTTTGAGGGTGTGGCAGCAATTAGCATATTCCATACTTATTGGCTGTGGGCACCACCATCTTTGTGAGGGTCAATTAGCATATTCCCTCTTTATTAGATAGGATAAGCAAACTTATGCTATTTTCAAATTTTCATAAAGCTATGTAGTGTTAGCCTAGATCAGCAGTTTTCAACCATTGTGGTATTGTATGTTTTAAAAATTCTTGCTGCACATCAGTTGGAAATCACTGGCCCAGATACATACTTAAAACTTCTATTCTAAAATCTGACTTAAAAGAAAAATATTCACAAAGTCATAAATGTTGGGGTGACTCTTTCAATAGATTATGGTGAAAAAACCATAACAGCAGCATCAATGATAGACCCAGTGCTTTTAAGAATCAGTCATCTATTTAAGATTCTGACTAGTATCTCTGATTCTGTAATAATTTTGCCTTTCTTTGTCTTAAGAGGAAGTGTGCCTGATAGACAAGTGTTCCAGTTCTAATCAGGATTTCTATTTTGCTTCTTTTGCTTTAGAAATGAAAAGGTGTGATACAGTATAAAATACATTTTGTACTTAGATGTATGGGTGGAAGCATTTGGAATTATGATTCATTGTTAACCTTAAAAGGAAAAAAGCAATACCTCTAGGAGGTAGAAAAGAAAAAACTGACAAAGATTTGGAGTAATAAATATGAGGAATTGGATGGACAGTTATCAAAAGGGGACTGAAAGGATTGATAACAAGGAAGAAATACTAAGAACACCAGGATTATGCATCTGAGCACAGTTTTTAGCCCAGTAGAAGAAAGAGGGAAATTGGAGAATACTGTAAGTCAGGGAGTAGGGGAGATCATGTGACTATAAAGTTATAGTGAAAATGGTAAACTGTGAGCTCTAAACTGCAAAGAGAAATTGAAAGCCCAAAGGGCTAAATATATAAGTAATCAGAAATTTTTAAGATATTTTATCTCAATATATATTCCATGTATTTGTTTATTACAGAATGAAACTCTCTTGTTGGTATTTGCAAATGTGAGACTCCTGCCCTTTTAAATGAAAGTAACAAGATCTTTTTCAAGAAATGTCTTTCTTTTGAGAGGTTGAGTGAGATGGTAGAGTGGATTAAGTTCCAGTATTTTTTGGGAGAAGACTTTTCAGTCTAAAAGCCCTCTGAAACTGATTAAAATTTTTTCTGTCATTGTTCTTCCTCCTTAATGTTTGTCTCTCCATAATCATAGTCAGTCAAAAAATAGTATTTATAAAAGCAACCTTTCTATGATCACTGGAGCACATTTTATAGTCATGTACCGCATATCAAAGTCTCAGTCAATGAGAGACCACATATACAGTAGTGGTCCCATCCTGTATAATAAAAGCCTAGGTGGCGCCGTGCATGTCATCACAAGATGGCCACCCACATCATCACAAGATGGACGTCCCACGTCATCATAAGGTGGCCAGGGGAGAGCAGTGTGGATAATAAGGCTGGCAGGGGAGGGCAGTTGGAGGCAAACAGCCAGCAGGGAGGGCAGTTGGAGGCGAATAGGGTGGCAGGGGAGGGCAGTTAGAGGTGACCAGGCCTGCAGGGGGAGGGCAGTTGGGGGTGAGATCAGGTCAGCAGGAGAGGGCAGTTGGGGACAAAATCAGGCCAGGAGGGGAAGGCATTTGGAGAGCACCCAGACTGGCAATGGTACAGTTGGGGGCAACCAAGCTGGCAGGGGGAGCAGTTAGGGGCCGATCAGGCAGGCAGGCAGAAGAGTGGTTAAGAGACAGCAGTCCTGGATTATGAGAGGGATGTCTGAGGAGTTCCTGATAGGAGAATGTGCAGGCCGAGCTAAGGGACACCCTGCCCCTGTGCATGAATTTCATGTCCTGGCCTCTGGTAGGATTATAATGGAGCTGAAAATTCCTATTATGTACTTGCATCATGGACATAACAATGTAGTGGTACAGTGCTGGTGTAAATATACTTACTGCGCTGCCTGTTGTATAAAAGTAAAGCACATACAATTAGGTATAGTATATAATACTTGATAATGATAAAAGACTTCTGTTACAGGTTTATATATTTACTAGAGGCCCAGTGTACAAAATTCGTGTGGGGGAGACAGGCGTCCCTCAGCCCAGCCTGCACCCTCTCCAATCTGGGACCCCTCAAGGGATGTCTGCCCATTTAGGCTTGAACCCAACAGGCAGTTGGACATCCCTTTCACAATCCAGGACTGTTGGCTCCCAACTCCTCACCTATCTGATTGCCCCTAACTGCTTCTGCCAGCCTGATCACCCCCTAACCACTCCCCTACCAGCCTGATTGACACCTAACTGCTCCCCTGCCAGCCTGATTGCTTTTAACTGCCCTCTCCTACAGGCCTGGTTCCCCCTAACTACCCTACCCTGCAGGCCTGACCACCTACAATTGCCCTCCCCTGCAGGCCTGATCACCCTCAACTGCCCTCCCATGCTGGCCATCTTGTGTCCACACAGGGGCAGCCATCTTGTGTGTTGGAGTGATGGTCAATTTGCATATTGCCTCTTTATTATATAGGATTATACTATACTTTTTTTATCATTTAGAGTGTATTCTTTATACTTATAAAAAAAAATAGTATGCCTGTGTTACACCAGCAGCAGCTTATAGATCTTGTGTTTGCTATATCTCTTGCATGCATCATTTCCTCTTGTGCTTGATATAATCTCATGTTGTTTGCTCATCATGGGGCCTAATCCTACAAAATCCACTGCTAATGTTGCCAGTAAGAAGCCATGTCCAGTGATTGACCTGGAAACTAAATTAAAAGTGACTATAGACTAGGATGGTAGAAAATCCATAATGATTATTGCTCACAAGTCAGGCATGTTCCTTTCACCACAACTGTGATCTTAAAGATCAAGAACTAAGTGGCTTAAGCTGTTAAAGTATCAGCTTCTTTGAAGACAAGGAGACTAACAAAAAGTCAAGCAGAGAGAAACTTCTAATGACATGGATTGAAGGGCAAACATAGAAGCTATCCCACTCAGTCCCCTGGCAATCACAGACCTACTACAATGTTGAATTTTTACTAGCTCTGAGTGATTTACACAATTCAAGAATCATTATTCATTGCATAATGTGAAAGTGGTAAATCTGCAAGTGTCGATAAGAAGGCAGCTGGTTAATTTTTGGGTATCTCAGAATTTTTCTCTTGTCATGTATATAATAATTGGGTACAAATGGACATTTTCTGGGAACAGACTTGACTTCTAAGTGAACTTTTGGGCTTACTGTACAAAATTATTTCAGTTTGTAAACTATGTATTTCTCTCTATGAGATTAATAAGAGGCGTTTAAGACATTTGTAGAATTAAGACAGGGAACTATGCAAGGGCCTATGCCGAAGTTTCCTTAGCTGAGGCAAAGGCGGAAATACCATAGCAGTAATGACTAAGGATTGCTCTATAGTCGTAGCAAGACATGCTCCAATTATCTGAGGCTAGGTTCCTTAAAGTATCAGTGTCGAAGGAACACACTAAAAAAAAAAGCTTTTTCCAGCGTATAACACGACTTTTGAAACGAAAAAAAGCCTGCTCAGATTGGCCAGAGTCAGAGAGGTGGTTTATTAAAAAAAGAACTGGTGTTGCCTCGGAAGTGGGGGGTAGTCTTATACAGTGAATATAGGCCTAAACCTATGTTTTAACTGTAAAATTAGGGGGGTCGTCTTATACGCCGGAAAATACGGTACTTGCAAATCCGGGGCTCTGTCTCAAAAAAGAAGATTGCTGGAAAGAGTTGTTCTGAAATCATGGCCACTGATAAGAACAGTACAAACGTGGCTCTTCATGTAAGCAGCTAGCTATCTTTGTGCAATTCCAGGAAACTAGAGAATGAATGAAAATTAATCAGGTCCTTCCTTCATCTTGTGAATCTGTATTCTGGTAGTTGAAAGTCCAGTCAATACTGATTTTCACAGAAAATAAATCAGTGCTTTCTACATTCTTGAAAGGTGAACACAGACACAGTTCTATATGCCAATCAAAAGGAACATTCCAAGTATTTATTGAATCATCATCAGAAGTATAATTCTTCCAGTACTTTGGAAGAATTGTGAGTAGCCTTTATTCTTAAAAACCTTCACCTATTTCTCATTTTCATGTTTATGTTTTGTTTTGTCTGCTTGTCTTTAAAGGATTGTGAAGAATCACAGAACCACGCTGGCGATCCTGTTGGAGATGACTACAAAAAGATGGGAACACTTTTTGGTGAGCTGAACAAAAACCTCATCAGCATGGGCTTTACGAGGATGTACCTTGGAGAACGGATTGTGGAACCAGTGATCATCATTTTCTTCTGGGCTATGCTGTGGTTCCTTGGCCTACAAGCCTTTGGACTAGTTGCTGTTCTTTGCCTTGTCATTATTTATGTACAACATTAAAATATGGCTGAATGAGCTATTGATTGACATTTGGTAGCCATATATATATATAATTAGTGAAGTTATATATTTCACTACATGAAAGCCAAAAAGTTTGCCTTGTTTCAAATTGTGTGCTGTTTTATAATTATAAGTGGATATTGTTTAAAATAAAATTCAACTCTTGATTATAACAGGGTTCAATATACATCTTGTAGCTTATTCAAAATTCTTGTGTTAATACTATAATCTGTGCCCATTTTTAAATATCTCTATTCCCAGGCCAAATCTTAAATAACACCACCAAGTAAGAAGGGAAAATAACAGGATATGCAGTTCAAATTGGGCAATGTAAGTCTTATAAAGAGCTCCAATAAAATGTTTTAGGAGAAAAATGATGAAACAATATGCTAAAAATAAGTTGTACCTGGGCAATTTCTCCCCACCCACTCCCACCAAATAACCCCATATTATTTGGGAAATAATTTGGACTTTTATTATCCCTGCTCAGCCCAAACCATTGTATATGATAATTACTATACACTACCTTAACGTTTTGATGAAAATCAGTAAAGTTAGCACATCTTCTACAGATTGACAATAATATATTTATTATTGCTTGGGAAACTTCCCAAGTTAAATATAACTTTTTTATAAGGAAACATGTGGGCCTAGAATCACTTCAGTATATCATTTGGAGTTTTAGATAATTTTGGTGCTAATTACCTTTTGTGAGTTTTTAAAGTCTCATAAGCCAGATCCATAGTTAGTTGTACCCCATAGTAATGCTATATTTTCTAACATGTTGTATATTTTTTTCCTACGAGAGACATTTGCAGTGTTGTTTTTCAAAATTTGTATTTTATAGTTCTTTTATAAAAATTACTCTAAGACTTTAAAAATCAATTTATCTTGGAATGAATTACTTTTTTCCCAAAAATTTATATTTGTATTAAAGCTGAAATACTTAACTATTGTTTTGTATTAAAGCTGAAATACTTAACTATTGTTTTGAGAGGGAGGTAAGTTCATTTCTTTGATATATGTATTGGAAATTACAATATTACAGAATAAAAAACAAATGCTTCAATGGAATTTAACAGCCAATTAGCATTTTGAGATTTTATATTGAAATAAGCATTTATTTAAATACACTTTGAAAATGAAAAATGGCTTAGTAACATTTTGGATTTTTGTCAGAGAACCTAAAATTTGTACACTTTTGTCTCAAAGAGTTTCTATATATACAAAGGAAAGGTAGTTAAGATGATTATCTAAAAATTCAAGTTAAATAAGAGAAAAATGGAACATTTGGGCATTTTTATCTTTGGCAGGGCAATAACTAAAGCATGTAAAGTGTTTACTAGTCCACTTGGTGAAGTTTTTGCCCAATCCTGTTTTTTGAATTTATTCTATAAGTTCTCGGTGTTTTCTATTCTGAAGCAGAAAATTAATGAAAAATATTCAAGTTAGATTTTTAAAATCAGATAATCCTGAACAAAAATACCAGTCATAAGGTACTAAAACATATTGTACATTTGTATAAATATAGGCCTTTTAAAGTTTGACTTTGAAAAAAGACTTTATATTATACCATTGTGTTTTTATTGGGCTTGCAGTATTTTTATGATCACTTTTATAAACTCGGCAAAGTGTAAATTATTTGAAAAGCTGTCTTCATTTGTGCACAGTGGAATTGTGAAGTTATTAATAGAAGCCATGAAATTTTTTATACCTGCATTAAATATTAAAAAATGCGTTCTTCTCTATGCTACCAGGAATTTTAATTTCCCTTTGGAATGTGAAAAAGACATAGTATACATAATAACAACTCTGGTTCCACCAGTGCCTGATGTTGAAACTATTTTAAAAGTTAAGTTTTAATAGTAATTATTTAATATACTAACAATACTGTTTCTGCACAATGTGTTAATAGTGTATATATTAAACTATATAAAGAAATTAGATATTTTGCTACTATTTTTTCTGCATATATTATTCGTTACATCAGTATACCATTAAAGTGTTTGCTTTGATAGGGAAAAGGCAAACTTTGCTTATTTGATGGAAATAAAATATTTTCTTTTATGAAACATATTAGAATGCAAAGTATTCTGATACCCCAAATGAAAAGAAACCAGTCATTTCTTTGATTCATGGTATAAAGAAGTAGATTGACAATGATTCTCAACAGTTTCTATTTCATATACAAATCAATTTTAGAAACTTATAAAATTTATATACATAAAATAATACGTATATGTTGACAAATGCTAAGTTATTGATTCATTACTCATACCACCAGCTTTCAATTCAAAGGCAAAAGATCTACAAATAAACTGAATATAGGTGAATGAATCAATTTTCATTAGAATAAAAGTTCAGTATTAGAATTATTCCTTTCATATCTTAAACTGTTACTAGGTGTATCAGTTAATACAGATTTTTGTAATCAAAGAAAACACGATAATTTCAAGAGAAACATCAGAAGTGCTTTATTCAAAGTAATGTCCATCGCTAGCTACACATTTCTCCCATCTGTCAGGTAATTTGTGGATACCGTCCCAATAGAACTTTTCTTGTTTTGAGACAAACCATTCAGAGACCAAATTTTATACTTCTTCGTATGTTTTCAAGTGCTGCTCAGAAAACGGGTGTGCCATCGGTCCACAAGTGGTAATCTGAAGGAGCAAAGTCTGGTGAATATGGCGGGTGGGTTAATACTTCCCAGGCAAGATCTTTTAACATGTCTTCAACTGGTTTTGAAGTGTGTAATGGTGCATCATCATGAAGCAAAATTACTTCTGGCACATTCTGGTCATTTCATGATCAAAGTGTGGTTCAAGTTGATTATTTGTTGTTGGTAACAATCAGTATTAATTGTTTCACCTGATTTAGAAGTTCATAATACACTCACACCTTCCTGATCCCACCAAACGCAGAGCATTATCTTCTTTCCAAAGCAATTTGGCCTTGCAGTCGATGTTGATGGTTGACTTGGATCAACCCATGATTTTGTGCATTTGGGATTCTCAGAATAAATCCATTTTTCATCACCAGTCACAATTCGATGCAAAGAAGACTTTCTTTCGTGCCGTTGAACCAGTATTTTACTGATGACTTCTGTTTTTCATTTGTCTTTTATTTAATTGATGTGGCACCCATTTTCCTGCCTTTAAAATCTTTCCAGTTGCTTGAAAACTATTGGAAATTGTTTGTCGACAATGTTTACTCTTTCTGCAAGTTGTTTTTGAGTTTGAGTTTTTGAGTCCATTGCATCTTCATCCAATAATGCTTGTAATTGTTGGTCTTCAAACTTTTTCAGTTGAGCTGGACGTTTTTTGTCTTTCACATTGAAATCATCACTTCCAAAGCATTTAAACCAGAGTTCCCAAGTATCTTGAAATGAAACACATTCACCATAAGCTTCCCGAAGTATATGATAGCTTTTTCCTCAAAATAATGAGTTAAAACTTCCCTTTGGCACGAAATTCAACATTTTTTAAGTTTAAAAATATCTATGATGTTAACACCTTCAGAAAATTTGAAGTTTTGAAGTTATCAATACAACAAAATAGCATATATATCAAATCGCATATATATAAACATATTTTTTAAAAATCCACATTATTAACTGGTATACCTAGTATATACAAAGTAATTTTCCATTCCTGGCCACCAGTCAGATCATTCTAGGTCCAGTAATGTGCTGAGCTAACTCACACTGGCTTGCAAAAGTTAACTGTGTCCATTTCCCCCTACTCTGTTTTCAGTGACATTGATTGCCGGTGGTGGTGCTGGTGGTGGTGTTTATACTTTAAAAATTGGCAAACACAACAATCCAGGGCTCTTTTTTCCTGGCTAGCCAATTGTTAAACATATATCCGCACACTCTGATTAGCTACTCTGGAGGCCACATTCCCATTTCTACTCCCACAAATATAAAAGGAACTATATTGAGGCAAATTCCCTGGGCCCATCCAAAGATGTATTTGGATCTTTTCCATGTGAAAATTGTGGACCTGAGTCATCTCTTGACAGACATATTTGACCAGATGTTTTGATCAGAGAAAAATCTCCTAGCTGTCACTGAGCTGCAAACCATTAAAGATTCTCAGGAACTAAGAAACGGTCACACATAGTACTGGAAGTACTAGCCATTGCAATTAGACAAGAGGAGAAAATAAAAGGCATCCAAATTGGAAAAGAAGAAGTAAAGTTATCCTTATTTGCAGATGACATGATATTGTACATAAAAAACCCAAAAGACTCCATTAAAAAACTAATTGACTTAATAAATGAATTTGGCAATGTAGCAGGATACAAAATTAATGCCAAGAAATCCATGGCATTTCTATACACCAACAATGAAACTACAGAAACAGAGACTAAAAAAGCCAATTCCATTTACCATCACACCAAAAAAATTAAGATACCTAGGAATAAATTTTACTAAGGAAGTAAAGGACCTATATGCAGAAAACTACACGACACTGAAAAAAGAGATAGAGGAAGATGTAAAAAGATGGAAGAACATACCATGTTCATGGATTGGTAGAATCAACATCATCAAAATGTCCATACTTCCTAAAGCAATCTATAAGTTCAATGCACTCCCCATTAAAATACCAACGGCATATTTTACTGACCTAGAAAGAACTCTCCAAAAGTTCATTTGGAACAATAAAAGACCCCGAATAGCCACAGCAATCCTGAGAAAGAAGGGTAAAGTAGGAGGGATCTCAATACCAGACTTCAAACTGTATTACAAAGTCACTGTTCTCAAAACAGCCTGGTACTGGCACAAGAACAGACATATAGATCAATGGAATAGAATTGAGAACCCAGATATCAACCCAAATCACTATGCTCAATTAATATTTGACAAAGGAGGCACGAATATACAATGGAGTCAAGACAGTTTCTTCAATAAATGGTGTTGGGAAAATTGGACAGACACATGCAAAAGAATGAAACTAGATCACCAACTTACACCATACACAAAAATAAACTCAAAAAGG